TTAACTTTCTAAGGAATCTCCATAATGTTTTCCAGAGTGGCTACACCAGTTTGCATTCCCACCAACATTGCTTACAGCTATTTTCAATTCAGCAGAAAGAGGGATTCTGTTAAAACAGAGGCCAGATCATGTTGAATCTCTGTTCAAAATCCTCCAAATGGTCCCCATCTTACACAGTATAAATGTCAGAGTCCTTACCTTGTCCTACAAGGGTCTATATTTGACTGTGCCCACTGATCTCATCTCCTTCCCTCTCTTTCTTGCTCACTCTGTTCCTAGCCACACTGATCTTTCTAGAAAATACCAAGAAATTTTCTGCTACAGAGCATTTTTATTTACTATTTCTTCTCTCTTTCTCCTCCTCCCCAAAATATATGCAGGGCCTATACCTTCATTTCATTCCGATCCCTTCTCAAATGTTCCCTTATTAGAGAGGCCTTCCCTGATAACTTTCCAGCGCACATCACTTTCTCTCCCTTTTTCCCTATTATATTTCTTTCCACAACATTTACCACCAACAATTTTATTTACTGTCCATTTTTTCTACAGTGTAAGTTAAGCTCATTGAGGGCAAAAAGAAACATCTAGTGAGGGTCTCCTATTGGCCAGGTCCTTTTCTAGGACATGGGGATATAAAAGTGAACAAAATTGATAATACCACTATCCTTCTGGCATTTCCATTATAGAATTATAATAAGCTGCTATATTTTCTCAGTAAATATTTGATGAATGCATTGAATAAATATATAGCATACACTGAATAGAGTTATAGAAACTGTTCAAATTTAAAGAATATTTGGATTGGCTCCTCACTCTTTAACTCATTGAATCTCCCACCCCATCTAAAAAATGGTTCTGTAGCTTCCCAGGTGAAAGGCTAGAAATTTATTTGAATCCCAGGACCTCTAGACATTCTATACTCCTACCTCTAAGGGCTCTTGGGTTCCTCCTAAGTATACTGTTTAAAGAAAAATATCTGAAAGGCATCCAAATGGGCAAGGAAGAAGTCAAACGTTCACTCTTTGCAGAACACATGATACTCTATGTAGAAAACCCAAAAGACTCCACCAAAAATTTGATAGAAAGGGTTCATGCATTCAGCAAAGTGTCAGGATATAAAATCAACATACCAAAATCTGTTGCATTTCTATACACCAACAATGAAGCACCAGAAAGAGAAATCAAGGAGTAGAGATCCCATTTACCATTGTATCTAAAATCATAAGACACCTTGGAATAAACCTAACCAAAGTGGTAAAAGATCTGTACTCTGAAAACCATAAAGCACTGATGAAAGAAACCAAAGATGACACAAAGAAGTGGAAAAACATTCCATGCTCATGGATTGGAAGAAAAAAAATATTGTTAAAATGTCTATACTACCCAAAGCAATCTACACATTCTGTGCCATCCCTATCAAAATACCACCAGCATTTTGCACAGAGCTAGAACAAACAATCCTAAACTTTGTATGGAACCACAAAAGATCCCATATAGCCAAAGTAAGGTTGAAAAAGAAAACCAAAGCTGGAGGCATCACAGTCCCAGACTTCAAGCTGTATTACAAAGCTGTAATCATCAACACAGTATGGTCTTGGCACAAAAATGGACACATAGATCAATGGAACAGAACAGAGGACCCACAGCTATACGGTCAGCCAATCTTCAACAAAGCAGGAAAGAATATCCAATGGAAAAAAGACAGTCTCTTCCACAAAGGGTGTGGGGAAAACCGGACAGCAACACACAGAAGAATGAAACTGGACCACTTTCTTTCACCCATACACAAAAATAAATTCAAAATGGATGAAAGACCTAAATGTAAGACAGGGAACCACCAAAATCCTAGAGGAGAAAACAGGCAGCAACCCTTTGACCTTGGCTGCAGCAAATTCTTACTAGACACGTCTCTGGAGGCAAGAGAAACAAAAACAAAAATGAACTATCGGGACCTCATCAAGATAAAACGCTTCTGCACAGCAAAGGAAACAATCAATAAAACTAAAAGGCAACCAGTGGAATGGGAGAAGATATTTGCAAATGACATATCTGATAAGGGGCTAGTATCCAAAACCTATGAAGAACTTATCAAACTCAATACCCCCAAAATAAGAAAATCCAGTTAAGAAATGGGCAGAAGACATGAACAGACATTTCTCCAAAGAAGACATCCAGATAGCTAACAGACTCATGAAAAGATGCTCAACATCACTCATCATCAGGGAAATGCAAATCAAAACCACAATGAGATACCACCTCACACCTGTTCTGAGTGGCTAAAATTAACAGTATTGGAAACAACAGATGTTGGTGAGGATGCAGAGAAAGAGGAACCCTTTTGCACAGTTTGTGGGAATGCAAACTGGTGCAGCCACTCTGGAAAAGAGTATGGCGGTTCCTCAAAAAGTTAAAAATAGAACTACCCTACCACACAGCAATTGTACTACTAGGTATTTATCCAAAGGATACAAAAGTGCTGATTCGAAGGGGCACATGCACCCTGTGTTTTAGCAGTGTTTATAGCAGCACTATCAACAATAGCCAGTTTATGGAAAGAGCCCAAATATCCGTTGACTGATGAATGGATAAAGAAGATATGGTATATATATTCAATGAAATATTACTCAGCAAATCAAAAAGAATGAAATCTTGCCATTTGCAACAAGGTGGATGGAACTAGAGTGTATTATGCTGAGCGAAATAAGACAAATATCATATGATTGCACTCATATGTGGAATTTATGAATCAAAACAGATGAACATAGGGGAAGGGAAGGAAAAATAAAATAAGATAAAAACGGAGAGGGAAGCAAACCATAAGAGACTCTTAACTATAGAGAACAGACTGAGGGTTGCTGGAGGGGAGGTCAGTGGGGGGAGGATGGGCTAAATGGGTGATGGGCATTAAAGAGGGAACTTGTTGGGATGAGCACTGGGTATTATATGTAAATGATGAATCACTAAATTCTCCTGAGACCAATACCACAGTACATGTTAACCAACTTGAATTTAAATTAACAAAAAGAAAAATATCTGGTATTCCATTAGAAATTGGGGATCAACACATAGTGATGAAATCTAGTGACTATCAGCCCAGGAGGAAATGAGATAAGGAGTGCTACGAATTAATAAGGGAAGCTTCTGCCTTGTCCAGAGAGAAAAAATACTTTGTATCAAAATGGAATAAACACTGTAAAGAAGATCAGTAGCAGAGATCCAGATAAAGTGGTTTGGGAGAGAGGAAGAAGCTTCGTTCTTTAAGAGAAAACTTGGGAGGCCAGATGAAGTGGTAAACTTTAGAATCTATTAGACTTCCCACTGCAGACCATGCCCACAGCAGAAGGTGATATTGCTCTTAGCACCTCTCACCTCTCCTCTTTAGCAACCAGGGAATATGAAAGATTTGGTGGTTCTAGAAGTAGCCTCCAGGGGACAAGTTGAAGATAGGAAAACCTACATGTATCGAAGGGTGAGATGATTAGAAGAAAGGGACAATGATTCTCAGTTCTCAGCTTCACCATAGCCTTCTGAAGACTTCAGGGAACTGGCTGCAAGCAGTTTGTGAATAATGGGTGCCTTCATGGACCACATTTCCTAGGCATGAACTTGGTCACCAATTATATGTAAAGTGACTGCTCTAAAGAATGGCCCCACTGGTCCAGTTGTCCATTCAAGGGCTCAATAATGCACCACCTCTAGAGACTGGAACATCCCACTTACCTTATTTCTCTAACTGTCCTTTTTTATTACAATCCTTGTTGTGAGCCCTTTTCAGATTTCATTTAGTTCTACTTCTTCTTGCTCCTACTGACAAATTCCTGGCTCCATTTCTTCAGTAGCTCATGCCTTCTGGAACTGCTTCCATTACTGGCCCTTACTCATATTGACAAATATCAGGTTAAAAATCTGATTTTCATCTTTAAATACTCATATTGTTTTGTAACCCCCACCCAACATATATCTTAGGCAGATGTAGCCAGACACATGCTGTCTTTAAATCCAGATGGCTTTGCAGCAGTCCAGAGCTCTGCATTCTACAAATTCCTGTGCCAAGGATGTACATTCTGTCATTTGACAGAGTGATGTTGAAACAGCATTCAAAGACCCTGCCCAGGAGCTAGCGTGACATTTTGTTATGCCTCACAAAATGCATAGCTAGTTAACTCACAACTGTCTCATCCTCAGTAAGAAGGGCTTTATTTGTTATTTTTTAAGATTTTATTTATTTGACAGAGAGAGACACAGCGAGAGAGGGAACACAAGCAGGGGGAGTGGGAGAGGGAGAAGCAGACTCTCCGCCGAGCAGGGAGCCCGATGTGGGGCTCAATCCACCTGAGCCAAAGGCAGACGCTTAATGACTGAGCCACCCAGGCGCATCAGTAAGAAGGGCTTTAATGGCACATCATAACCTTGCTGAAGGGGAAATCAACATCATCAACTTACATTACAAACACCAACAATTTGCCAGGTACTAGGCTAGATTCTAGAGTTATATAAAGATAAATGATCCCCTACCCTCAAGGAGCTTATAGATGGGTTCTAAAAGCTCTAATTCATGTTTGAGCATGGTAGCTGATACCAATATTGATATGATTACCACTGGGATTAACACATCATGTAAGTGCCACCATGACACTCTTGTCAATTCCAAGAATAGGACTGGCGAATCCTCTTCATGGCCTTAGTAGATGGGGGTGTCCCCCGGAGAGATGAGGTCCTCATGGAGTGTAATCATGAGAGATATAAATGCTACCATGGCTCTCAGATATACTGTGCAAGGAATGAAAATATCTGGGGTTGGAGGAAAGAGGATACTTGTATAGTCAGCTTTATGTCAAGCTTTATGGACTGATTCATCGATTAGGCTGGAAAAAAACTTCTCTGACCTTTGGTCTATGGACGATATGTGAGATAGTGAAGCACACTTGAGAAGGCAGTTCTCAAAAGGATACTTCTCATTTATTATAACACGTGATAAAAGATCACCCAAACAGACTTACCATCCGCACCTTCACTGCTTTTGCTTCTTTTATTGCGGCGAACACGCCTACTTTCCTCTTCAGAGTATGATTTTTCTTCAGGGAAGAAGAAATTCAGAAGGGCCATCTATAAAAATAAAAAGCAGATGAGTCAAAGAGTGACCCCAGTCAACCATAGCCAACATAAAAAAACTGGCTTTCTGTAGACAGTGTAGCTTCACCTTAAATCAGTGTACCTAAAACCTAAGCCCATCTTCTCCTCCACTGTACAAACAGATTTAATTTTTTGGACCATAACTTAGCATTATTTTTATTGTGAAACTTTAAATAATATAAAAATATGAATAAAATAAAAATCACAAAAATCTCATCTCTCCTAGATAACCACCATTGTATTTCTATCCATATATTTTTTACATAAGTGAGATTATTTTCATTTGGTTTTATACTGCTTATAGCCTGTTTTCTTCATTCAAAAATATATTTCTATGGTCCAAATAGATCTATGTCTTTATGTTTATGGCTACATTATTATTTCATGATATGGATGTGCCATCTTTGCCATTAATTATTATTATTATTTTTAACACATGCTGTAATATTGGTCTCAGGAGAAGAATTTAGTGATTCATCACTTACATATAATACCCAGTGCTCATCCAAACAAGTTCCCTCTTTAATACCCATCACCCATTTAGCCCATCCTCCCCCCACTGACCTCCCCTCCAGCAACCCTCAGTCTGTTCTCTATAGTTAAGAGTCTCTTATGGTTTGCTTCCCTCTCCGTTTTTATCTTATTTTATTTTTCCTTCCCTTCCCCTATGTTCATCTGTTTTGATTCATAAATTCCACATATGAGTGCAATCATATGATATTTGTCTTATTTCGCTCAGCATAATACACTCTAGTTCCATCCACCTTGTTGCAAATGGCAAGATTTCATTCTTTTTGATTTGCTGAGTAATATTTCATTGAATATATATACCATATCTTCTTTATCCATTCATCAGTCAACGGATATTTGGGCTCTTTCCATAAACTGGCTATTGTTGATAGTGCTGCTATAAACACTGCTAAAACACAGGGTGCATGTGCCCCTTCGAATCAGCACTTTTGTATCCTTTGGATAAATACCTAGTAGTACAATTGCTGTGTGGTAGGGTAGTTCTATTTTTAACTTTTTGAGGAACCGCCATACTCTTTTCCAGAGTGGCTGCACCAGTTTGCATTCCCACAAACTGTGCAAAAGGGTTCCTCTTTCTCTGCATCCTCACCAACATCTGTTGTTTCCAATACTGTTAATTTTAGCCACTCAGAACAGGTGTGAGGTGGTATCTCATTGTGGTTTTGATTTGCATTTCCCTGATGATGAGTGATGTTGAGCATCTTTTCATGAGTCTGTTAGCTATCTGGATGTCTTCTTTGGAGAAATGTCTGTTCATGTCTTCTGCCCATTTCTTAACTGGATTTTCTTATTTTGGGGGTATTGAGTTTGATAAGTTCTTCATAGGTTTTGGATACTAGCCCCTTATCAGATATGTCATTTGCAAATATCTTCTCCCATTCCACTGGTTGCCTTTTAGTTTTATTGATTGTTTCCTTTGCTGTGCAGAAGCGTTTTATCTTGATGAGGTCCCGATAGTTCATTTTTGTTTTTGTTTCTCTTGCCTCCAGAGACGTGTCTAGTAAGAATTTGCTGCAGCCAAGGTCAAAGGGTTGCTGCCTGTTTTCTCCTCTAGGATTTTGGTGGTTCCCTGTCTTACATTTAGGTCTTTCATCCATTTTGAATTTATTTTTGTGTATGGGTGAAAGAAAGTGGTCCAGTTTCATTCTTCTGTGTGTTGCTGTCCGGTTTTCCCCACACCCTTTGTGGAAGAGACTGTCTTTTTTCCATTGGATATTCTTTCCTGCTTTGTTGAAGATTGGCTGACCGTATAGCTGTGGGTCCTCTGTTCTGTTCCATTGATCTATGTGTCCATTTTTGTGCCAAGACCATACTGTGTTGATGATTACAGCTTTGTAATACAGCTTGAAGTCTGGGACTGTGATGCCTCCAGCTTTGGTTTTCTTTTTCAACCTTACTTTGGCTATATGGGATCTTTTGTGGTTCCATACAAAGTTTAGGATTGTTTGTTCTAGCTCTGTGCAAAATGCTGGTGGTATTTTGATAGGGATGGCACAGAATGTGTAGATTGCTTTGGGTAGTATAGACATTTTAACAATATTTTTTTTCTTCCAATCCATGAGCATGGAATGTTTTTCCACTTCTTTGTGTCATCTTTGGTTTCTTTCATCAGTGCTTTATGGTTTTCAGAGTACAGATCTTTTACCACTTTGGTTAGGTTTATTCCAAGGTGTCTTATGATTTTAGATACAATGGTAAATGGGATCTCTACTCCTTGATTTCTCTTTCTGGTGCTTCATTGTTGGTGTATAGAAATGCAACAGATTTTGGTATGTTGATTTTATATCCTGACACTTTGCTGAATGCATGAACCCTTTCTATCAAATTTTTGGTGGAGTCTTTTGGGTTTTCTACATAGAGTATCATGTGTTCTGCAAAGAGTGAACGTTTGACTTCTTCCTTGCCCATTTGGATGCCTTTTATTTATTTTTGTTGTTGTTGTTTGATTGATGAGGCTAGGACTTCCAGTACTATGTTGAACAACAGTGATAAGAGTGGACATCCCTGTTGTATTCTTCACCTTAGGGGAAAATCTCTCAGTTTTTTCCCCATTGAGGATGAAATTAACTGTAGGTCTTTCATATATGGTCTTTATTATGTTGAGCTATGTTCCTTCTATACCTACTTTCTTGAGGGATTTTATCAAGAAAGTATGCTGTACTTTGTCAAATGCTTTATCTGCATGTATTGAGAGGATCATATAGTTCTTGTCCTTTATTAATGTAGTGTATTGCATTGGTTTGTGGATATTCAACCACTGTTGAAGTACAAGGATAAATCCCATTTGGTTGTGGTGAATAATCCTTTTAATGTACTGTTGGATCCTATTGGCTAGTATTGTGTTTAGAATTTTTGCATCCATGTTCATCAGGGATATTGGTTTGTAATCCCCCTTTTCAGTGGGGTCTTCATCTGGTTTTGGGACCAATGTAATGCTGCCCTCTAAGAGTGATTTTGGAAGTTTTCCTTCCATTTCTATTTTTTGGAACAGCGTCAGAAAAATAGGTATCAATTCTTCTTTAAATATTTGGTAGAATTCCCCTGGGAAGCCATTTGGACTCTTATTTGTTGGGAGATTTTTTGATTACTGATTCATTTTCGTCACTAGTTATGGGTCTGTTCAAATTTTCTATTTCTTCCTGTTTCAGTTTTGGTAGTTTATATGTTTCTAGGCATTTATCCATTTTTTTCCAGATTGTCCAATTTGTTGGCATATATTTGCTCATAAAATTCTCTTATAATTTTTTTGTATTTCTATGGTATTTGTTCTGATTTCTCTTCTTTCTTTTGTGATTTTATTCATTTGAGTCTTTTCTCTTTTTGATAATCTGGCTAGGGTGTTATCAATTTTGTTAATTCTTTCAAAGAACCAGCTCTTAGTTTCATTGATCTGTTCTACTTTTTTTTTTTTTAATTTCTGTATCATTTATTTCTAATCTTAGTTATTTCCTTTCTTCTTCTGGTTTTGGGCTTTATTTGCTGTTCTTTTCCCAGCTCTTTTAGTTTTAAGGTTAGATTGTGTATTTGAGACTTTTTTTTTTTTGCTTCTTTAGGAAGCCTATATTGCTATATATTTCCCTCTTAGGACCACCTTTGCTGTATCCCAAAGGTTTGGGAGTGTTGTGTTTTCATATTCATTTGCTTCCATGTATTATTTCTTCTTTAATTTCCTGGTTAGCCCATTCATTCTTTAGTAGAGTGTTCTTTAACCTCCATGTATTTATGGTCTTTCCAATTTTTTTGTGTGGTTGACATCAAATTTCATAGTAGTGTGATCACAGTATTTTTGTTCTGGGTGAGGCCTGATTTGTGACCCAGTATGTGATCTCTTCTGGAGAATGTCTTATGTGCACTTGAAAAGAATGTGTATTCTGCTGCTTCAGGATGGATTGTTCTGCATATAGCTGTTAAATCCATTTGGTCTATTGTGTCATTCCAAGCCATTGTTTCCTTGTTGATTTTCTGCTTAGATGATCCCCCCATTGATATAAGTGGGGTGTCAAAGTCCACTACTGTCATTGTATTATTATCAATGTGTTTCCTTAAGTTTGTTATTAACTGATTTAAATATTTGGGTTCTCCCAAGGTGGGGGTATAAATATTTAGAATCATTAGATCTTCTTGTTGGATAGACCCCTTTATTATGACATAGTGCCCATCCTCATTTATTACAGTCTTTGGTTTAAAATCTAGCTTGTCTGATCAAGTATGACTACTCCAGTTTTATTTTGATGTCCATTACCATGATAGATGATCCTTCACACCCTTACTTTCAATCTGGAGATGTCTTTGGCTCAAGCAGCATATTGATGGGTGTTTTTTTTTCTTTTCCATTCTGATACCTATGTCTTTTGATTGGAGCATTTAGTCCATTTACAGAGTAATTACTGATAGATATGAATTTACTGCCATTGCATTACCTGTGAAGCCACTGTTCCTGTAGATTATCCCTGTTCCTTTCTAGTCTTTGTTGCTTTTGGTTTCTCTTTTCCACTCAAAGGGTCCCCTTTAATGTTTCTTGCAGAATTGGTTTAGTGTCCACAACTCCCTTAGTTTTTGCTTGTCCTGGAAACTCTTTATCTCTCCTTCTTTTCTTAATGACAATCTTGCTGGATATAGCATTCTTGGCTGCATATTTTTCCCATTTAGCACATTGAATATATCATGCCACTTTCTTCTGGCCTGCCATGTTTCTGTGGAGAGGACTGCTGCTAATCTTATGTGTCTATCCTTGTAGGCTAATGATCTTTTGTCCCTAGCTGCTTTCAGAATTCTCTCTTGCTTTCCCTCTTTTTTTGTATTTTGTAGGTTTCAGTATGATATATTATCTCGGTGTTGAGCTGTTTTTGTTGATTTTTGAGGGGAGTTCCCTGTGACTCTTGGACTTGAATGCCTGTTTCCTTCCCCAGATTAGGGAAGTTTTCAGCTATAATTTGTTCAAA